CAATACGCTTTTATTCGCTTTACAAATATGGATAACCGTCAGAATTGTCTGTGCCGTGCATGAGATTTTCATTTGCGCCGTGAGACTTCTATTTCTGCCGTACGTGTAGATAACAATATTTAAATTTACAACTAAAGCACCATGACCTTCGGCATGTCCTTAACTCTCTAGAAAATGTAGGCCCGGCCTATTTAGCATTTTACATCATAAAAAGTTGTGTTAATCCCCACGAGCAAAATTTTGCGAATAAATTCATTCGAATTTTAACACTAGGTGATTTCAAGAGTTTTGGGGGTTTTTAGGACACCTTGTATAATATACAGTTGCTAATGAATTCAATAGAGTCACTAATAGATTCAATAAACTTACTAATTCATTCGGTGTCATTGTTTTTATATTGTTTTGTTAACCCCGCGCATTTTCCCCATGCTTCAAAGCCCTCGACACTTGATGAATTTCAGACAATATAAGATATAGAGCATGGAAATACTAAACGCTGATTGGCCGAGTAAAGGTAGCTATTCTCTTATGATGAAATAAAAAAAAATAGTTGAGCACAACTAAACATTGTGTTCGAATTCCTTTAACGAATGTTCGCTACTGGCGATTGACTGGAACAACTCGCCGTTCGTACCCAATACGCGGACTCGCAGTCTCGCTACTCGTTATACTCGCGAGTGTCACGCACAAGTCTTCCGTCGAATTATTTACCGTATGTATGCTTAGTAAATTGATTTATATATAAAAACAATTAGTCCAAACAATCGAACTTTGGTAATGAGAATTTATAACCGATGCCACAGAGCTTCAAGACCTAGTTCTATTACACTTTCTAATTCTCGTAGACCTCTAGACTTAATTCTTCTATGTTTAATTGTATATCGCAAACGCCATAAAGAGTTGCCGATGACACGTCACTTGTTCATTATATTACCCCTTTTTAAAAAACGCTAGGCGTACTTTAAGGAAAATCAGAATCAAAGCAAAACTCATTCACTTCAATATTGCGAAAAGTATATAAAAGTTAAAGTAATATACTGACTATAATGAACGCAAAATATAGTAATAAAATGTCCAAGCATACATTTATAGTCGCACCCGTTATTTTTATTAAAGTTCCAGCCAATCTATTTCTACAATTTCAGAACACCATAAATAGTGCATATATATATGTATATATGACATTCGTCGATTGTTCTGTAACTACTTTCAACTTGAAAACCAACTCACAACCTAAAAAAAGTACAAAGAAAAACTCATTAGGACGACTATAAAAAACAATGGAAGAGAGTAAGAGCTAAAAAGTTTTATTAATGATAATAATTTTCGTGTTGGTTTTCATGAAATTGAACAGTAGTGTATTCAAACGTTCAAAATGAAATGTTTGATGTAAAAAAACACTCCTGATTCCAGGGGAATATGATCGCAGTGTTAACCTAACATGAAAAAGGTGTTGGAGAACACTAAAGATGTGTTATCCTAAATCGCACACCATTTGCGTGTAGCTATAGGCATGAGACGAGCATCTCTACACCATGCTTGCGCTCCTATAACACTTTCTTGGTGTAAAAATAAAAAAAAACTTACTTACACAAAGTTTAGTGTACCTGTCCCACATCTTAGTTTCAGTCTTAGCGGCAACAGTTTGCTCCTAAAAGACACGAATATGCGTAGGGCAATGCGCCATAGTCTGCGCAGGTTGGACTATTTTGATAGAAAGGTATACAAAATCCACCATGTGTTTCGCAATCAGTTATTTCTATAAGAAATTAATGTTGTAAAAGTTATGCCTGCAGTAGCAGATATACATGCAATGATTTGTACAACAAAATATTTCCAATATTCTGAAAACTTTGCATGACGAATACTTACGATGGCTGTCTTTATCATTAAGGCTCTTACGTCCTGACATCACATTTCCCCGCGAAAATTCAAAGACCACGAGAAACAAACAGATCATCAATAAACCTTTCATCACCATCTAAAAGATAAACACCACAATTACTTGCGGCGCGCGCTTTATAGACGGAAGGCCCCTTCCTTGATGAGATCCTTCATTCCGCGGTGTATAAGACTAGAAGAATTTTCAGAAATTGTTTAAATCCTGTTTATGTATGTATGGATCACATTACTTACTAACTTTAAAACAAAAGGGGGGAATATAATTACGTCGATGCCGAATACGTCATGAGAAAAAGTCTTATAGGAATGAATGCACTCACCGAACGCCCACCCGCCCACGTTTCGACATGCAAAACAACTTCAAGCAGCCTCTTATCGTTATTTATCGACCACCTGATTATTATATTATACACTCTATCTGAAATATCAAAACGATATAGCACATTACATAACCTAACTTGTAAATTTAAAACAAGAAGGTGGAAATTTATTCATGTATTTCTAGTTAAGAAAAATTCACTAATATAGCTTAATATATAACCGTGTAATCCTATCGCAAAGTCTCATCTCTTTTCCTTCACGTTAATAATCGTTTTGAAAGGACATTATATAACATAGTTAGATGCATGCATGCGTTGGAGTGCCAAGATGAATGGAAATATCAAACAATAGATAGAAGCTTTACTCACTTTTCGTTGTAGTTTTTTTCCGTCTTCGGTAGCTAAATGTCTCCGTGTTGCCCGTGAAGTGAAATGAGCAGAAGCCCGGTTTCCTCAGCTATATGTAAAGTCGTTGCCAGGTTAAAAATATCATTTCAAATTTGCCTAGCAGTCATTGAATATATGTCATCTTTGCATTGGGCTAAAGCTCAAGAACAGGCTGTCTATTGTTAGCATATTTAACTAAATAGGAAAAAATTAATATAATGTATAAATCAAGCGCAATGACTAACTATAAAAGGAAAAAAAATTATTCATCATGCAATAAAAGGTTATTGCATGAATTTGCAGCCTAAAACACAGATTATCTTATCGATGAAATAAAAAAAAACCCACTGTTGCTTAAATGAACCCCCTGCAACTAATCTCCCAGCTTCTGCTTTTTCGGTGTATATTCGACCACAAAACGACAGAAGCGTATTCTTTAACTTGCCGATCAAAACATCGGAAATCAACCTTGCATGGGTACTGTTGTAACTGAAAATACGAATGACAATATATTTGTAGAGATGCATTTTCAATTCCAGCTTATTAATATAGCTGCGGTATTGATACATTTATGACCTATGAAATGGCCATATTCGCCATAGTAGTGTGCATGGCATCGGTGGCAAACCCGACCATTGAAAGTCTCCTACTACGTATACGTTTAACAACAAAACAGAAACATAATATCACTGATTATTTAAAACAAATTAATGCTGGTTTCCTAACACTATAGTAGCAGTTTTCATGTCACGGCCGCGTCGTAGATTTTGAATTATCTTAAACTCGCTAATAGCTCTCGTGTTTGGTGGGCTACAAAAACTTCAAACTTTCTATAAAAAGTTTTACCAAATTGAGATACACATTTATATAAAGTCAGGTCGTAGTTAGAAGCTTAATTGGGGCGGGGGATGCATTTTCATATATTCGTCTTATACCCGAGAGAGAATCGGGTCAAAGAAAAAGCGTATAATTGAGGAAGGAAATACAGAAACCTCTAAGCCGGTCAATGTAATTTTTACGCATCATGCATGAAAGTGTACCAAAATTTAAATCTTTAGACGGTGTAAAAGATTAAAACGTCGTTGTGTTTTGAAAACTTTGAAAACTGGGGACTGTTTTGTGTGTGTACGTCAGTTTAGCTTCGATTTTATTGAATTCATGCATTAGTGACTCTGCAGGGTGCCCCAATAAAAAACAAAACAATTGAAACGACACATAACAATGTAATAGGGACCCACGTGCAAATGTATAAATGTTTGACGTAGGCATTTTTATGCATGTGACATGGCAGTAAAATTTGTTTGTCTACTAACAAATGACTTTTATTACCAATACGCTTTTATTCGCTTTACAAATATGGATAACCGTCAGAATTGTCTGTGCCGTGCATGAGATTTTCATTTGCGCCGTGAGACTTCTATTTCTGCCGTACGTGTAGATAACAATATTTAAATTTACAACTAAAGCACCATGACCTTCGGCATGTCCTTAACTCTCTAGAAAATGTAGGCCCGGCCTATTAAAGTTGTGTTAATCCCCACGAGCAAAATTTTGCGAATAAATTCATTCGAATTTTAACACTAGGTGATTTCAAGAGTTTTGGGGGTTTTTAGGACACCTTGTATAATATACAGTTGCTAATGAATTCAATAGAGTCACTAATAGATTCAATAAACTTACTAATTCATTCGGTGTCATTGTTTTTATATTGTTTTGTTAACCCCGCGCATTTTCCCCATGCTTCAAAGCCCTCGACACTTGATGAATTTCAGACAATATAAGATATAGAGCATGGAAATACTAAACGCTGATTGGCCGAGTAAAGGTAGCTATTCTCTTATGATGAAATAAAAAAAAATAGTTGAGCACAACTAAACATTGTGTTCGAATTCCTTTAACGAATGTTCGCTACTGGCGATTGACTGGAACAACTCGCCGTTCGTACCCAATACGCGGACTCGCAGTCTCGCTACTCGTTATACTCGCGAGTGTCACGCACAAGTCTTCCGTCGAATTATTTACCGTATGTATGCTTAGTAAATTGATTTATATATAAAAACAATTAGTCCAAACAATCGAACTTTGGTAATGAGAATTTATAACCGATGCCACAGAGCTTCAAGACCTAGTTCTATTACACTTTCTAATTCTCGTAGACCTCTAGACTTAATTCTTCTATGTTTAATTGTATATCGCAAACGCCATAAAGAGTTGCCGATGACACGTCACTTGTTCATTATATTACCCCTTTTTAAAAAACGCTAGGCGTACTTTAAGGAAAATCAGAATCAAAGCAAAACTCATTCACTTCAATATTGCGAAAAGTATATAAAAGTTAAAGTAATATACTGACTATAATGAACGCAAAATATAGTAATAAAATGTCCAAGCATACATTTATAGTCGCACCCGTTATTTTTATTAAAGTTCCAGCCAATCTATTTCTACAATTTCAGAACACCATAAATAGTGCATATATATATGTATATATGACATTCGTCGATTGTTCTGTAACTACTTTCAACTTGAAAACCAACTCACAACCTAAAGAAAAGTACAAAGAAAAACTCATTAGGACGACTATAAAAAACAATGGAAGAGAGTAAGAGCTAAAAAGTTTTTATTAATGATAATAATTTTCGTGTTGGTTTTCATGAAATTGAACAGTAGTGTATTCAAACGTTCAAAATGAAATGTTTGATGTAAAAAAACACTCCTGATTCCAGGGGGAATATGATCGCAGTGTTAACCTAACATGAAAAAGGTGTTGGAGAACACTAAAGATGTGTTATCCTAAATCGCACACCATTTGCGTGTAGCTATAGGCATGAGACGAGCATCTCTACACCATGTCTCGCTCCTATAACACTTTCTTGGTGTAAAAATAAAAAAAAACTTACTTACACAAAGTTTAGTGTACCTGTCCCACATCTTAGTTTCAGTCTTAGCGGCAACAGTTTGCTCCTAAAAGACACGAATATGCGTAGGGCAATGCGCCATAGTCTGCGCAGGTTGGACTATTTTGATAGAAAGGTATACAAAATCCACCATGTGTTTCGCAATCAGTTATTTCTATAAGAAATTAATGTTGTAAAAGTTATGCCTGCAGTAGCAGATATACATGCAATGATTTGTACAACAAAATATTTCCATTATTCTGAAAATTTTGCATGACGAATACTTACGATGGCTGTCTTTATCATTAAGGCTCTTACGTCCTGACATCACATTTCCCCGCGAAAATTCAAAGACCACGAGAAACAAACAGATCATCAATAAACCTTTCATCACCATCTAAAAGATAAACACCACAATTACTTGCGGCGCGCGCTTTATAGACGGAAGGCCCCTTCCTTGATGAGATCCTTCATTCCGCGGTGTATAAGACTAGAAGAATTTTCAGAAATTGTTTAAATCCTGTTTATGTATGTATGGATCACATTACTTACTAACTTTAAAACAAAAGGGGGGAATATAATTACGTCGATGCCGAATACGTCATGGGAAAAAGTCTTATAGGAATGAATGCACTCACCGAACGCCCACCCGCCCACGTTTCGACATGCAAAACAACTTCAAGCAGCCTCTTATCGTTATTTATCGACCACCTGATTATTATATTATACACTCTATCTGAAATATCAAAACGATATAGCACATTACATAACCTAACTTGTAAATTTAAAACAAGAAGGTGGAAATTTATTCATGTATTTCTAGTTAAGAAAAATTCACTAATATAGCTTAATATATAACCGTGTAATCCTATCGCAAAGTCTCATCTCTTTCCTTCACGTTAATAATCGTTTTGAAAGGACATTATATAACATAGTTAGATGCATGCATGCGTTGGAGTGCCAAGATGAATGGAAATATCAAACAATAGATAGAAGCTTTACTCACTTTTCGTTGTAGTTTTTTTCCGTCTTCGGTAGCTAAATGTCTCCGTGTTGCCCGTGAAGTGAAATGAGCAGAAGCCCGGTTTCCTCAGCTATATGTAAAGTCGTTGCCAGGTTAAAAATATCATTTCAAATTTGCCTAGCAGTCATTGAATATATGTCATCTTTGCATTGGGCTAAAGCTCAAGAACAGGCTGTCTATTGTTAGCATATTAACTAAATAGGAAAAAATTAATATAATGTATAAATCAAGCGCAATGACTAACTATAAAAGGAAAAAAAATTATTCATCATGCAATAAAAGGTTATTGCATGAATTTGCAGCCTAAAACACAGATTATCTTATCGATGAAATAAAAAAAAACCCACTGTTGCTTAAATGAACCCCCTGCAACCAATCTCCCAGCTTCTGCTTTTTCGGTGTATATTCGACCACAAAACGACAGAAGCGTATTCTTTAACTTGCCGATCAAAACATCGGAAATCAACCTTGCATGGGTAATGTTGTAACTGAAAATACGAATGACAATATATTTGTAGAGATGCATTTTCAATTCCAGCTTATTAATATAGCTGCGGTATTGATACATTTATGACCTATGAAATGGCCATATTCGCCATAGTAGTGTGCATGGCATCGGTGGCAAACCCGACCATTGAAAGTCTCCTACTACGTATACGTTTAACAACAAAACAGAAACATAATATCACTGATTATTTAAAACAAATTAATGCTGGTTTCCTAACACTATAGTAGCAGTTTTCATGTCACGGCCGCATCGTAGATTTTGAATTATCTTAAACTCGCTAATAGCTCTCGTGTTTGGTGGGCTACAAAAGCTTCAAACTTTCTATAAAAAGTTTTACCAAATTGAGATACACATTTATATTAAAGTCAGGTCGTAGTTAGAAGCTTAATTGGGGTGGGGGATGCATTTTCATATATTCGTCTTATACCCGAGAGAGAATCGGGTCAAAGAAAAAGCGTATAGTTGGGGAAGGAAATACAGAGCCCTCTAAGCCGGTCGATGTAATTTTTACGCATGGTGCATGAAAGTGTACCAAAATTTAAATCTTCAGAGGGTGTACAGGGTTAAAACGTCGTTGTGTTTTGAAAACTTTGAAAACTGTGGACTGTTTTGTGTGTGTACGTCAGTTTAGCTTCGATTTTATTGAATTCATGCATTAGTGACTCTGCAGGGTGCCCCAATAAAAACCAAAACAATTGAAACGACACATAACAATGTAAATATGTAATAGGGACCCACGTGCGAGTGTATAAATGTTTGACGTAGGCATTTTTATGCATGTGACATGGCAGTAAAATTTGTTTATATACCAACAAATGACTTTTATTACCAATACGCTTTTATTCGCTTTACAAATATGGATAACCGTGCATGCAAGAATTGTTTGCGCGGTGAGATTTTCATTTGCGCCGTGAGACTTCTATACTTGTGCCGCGTAGATAACAATATTTAATTTACACTAAAGCACCATGACCTTCGGCATGTCCTTAACCTCTAGAAAATGTAGCCCTATTTAGCATTTTATATTATAATAAAGTTGTGTTAATCCCCACGAGCAAAATTTTGCGAACAAGCATTCGAATTTTAACACTAGGTGATTTCAAGAGTTTTGGGTTTTTAGGACACCTTGTATAATATACAGTTGCTAATGAATTCAATAGACTCACTAATAGATTCAATAAACTTACTAATTGATTCGCTGTAATTGTTTTTATATTGTTTTGTTAACCCCGCGCATTTTCCCCATGCTTCGAAGCCCTCGAAATTTGATGAGTTTCAGACACTGTAAGATATAAAGCATGGAAATACTGGACGCTGATTGGCCGAGTGAAGGTACTATTCTCTTATGATTAAGTAAAAAAATTTACTTGAGCACAACTAAACATTGTGTTCCTTTTACGAATGCTCGCTACTAGCGATTGACTCGAACAACTCGCCATTCGTACCCAATACGGACTCGCATGCAGTCGCGCTACTCGTTATACTCGCGAGTGTCACGCACAAGTCTTCCGTCGAGTTATTTACCCTATGTATGCGTAGTAAATTGTTTATATATATAAAAACAATTAGTCCAAACAATCGATCTTTGGTAATGAGAATTTATAACCGATGCGACAGGGCTTCAAGACCTAATTCTATTACACTTCCTAATTCTCGTAGACCCTTAGACCTAATTCTCCTATGTTTAATTGTATATCGCAAGCGCCATAAACAGTTGACGATGACACGTCACTTGTATATTATATTACCCCTTTTTAAAAAACGCTAGGCGTACTTTAAGGAAAATCAGAATCAAAGCAAAACTCATTCACTTTATTACTGCGAAAAGTATATTAAAGTTAAAGTAATATTGTAACTAATCAAAGTAAAATATAGAAAAAAAAAAGTCCAAGCATACACTTATAGTCGCACCCGTTATTTTTATTAAAGTTCCAGCCAATCTATTTCTACAATTTCAGGACACCATAAATAGTGCATATATATATAGCTATATATGACATTCGACCATTGTTCTGTAACTACTTTCAACTTGAACCCAAACTCACAACCTAAAGAAAAGTACAAAGAAAAGACCATTATGACGACTATAAAAAACAATGGAAGAAAGTAAGAGCTAAAAAGTCTTTATTAATGATAATAATTTTCGTGTTGGTTTTCATGAATTTGAACAGTAGTGTATTAAAACGCTCAAAATGAAATGTTTGATGTACAAAAACACTCCTGATTCCAGGGGGAATATGATTATCCTCTAGCAGTGTTAACCTAACATGAAAAAGGTGTTGGAGAACACCAAAGATGTATAGGCTTGAGACGAGCATCTCTACACCATGCTCGCGCTCCTATAACACTCTCTTGGTGTAAAAAAAAAAACTCACTTACACAAAATTTAGTGTACCTGTCCCACATCTTAGTTTCAGTCTTAGCGGCAACAGTTTGCTCCTAAAAGACACGAATATGCGTAGGGCAATGCGCCATAGTCTGCGCAGGTTGGACTATTTTGATAGAAAGGTATACAAAATCCACCATGTATTTCGCAATCAGTTATTTCTATAAGAAATTAATGTTGTAAAAGTTATGCCTGCAGTAGAAGATATACATGCAATGATTTGTACAACAAAATATTTCCATTATTCTGAAAATTTTGCATGACGAATACTTATGATGGCTGTCTTTATCATTAAGGCTCTTACGTCCTGACATCACATTTCCCCGCGAAAATTCAAAGACCACGAGAAACAAACCGATCATCAATAAACCTTTCATCACCATCTAAAAAATAAACACCACAATTACTTGCGAAGCGCGCTTTATAGACGGAAGACCCCTTCCTTGATGAGATCCTTTATTCCGCGGTGTATAAGACTAGAAGAATTTTCAGAAATTGTTTAATACGGATCACATTATTTACTATTTTTAAAACAAAAGAGGGGAATACAATTACGTCCATGCCGAATACGTTATGGGAAAAAGTCTTATAGGAATGCATGCATTCACTGAACGCCCACCCGCCCACGTTTCGACATGCAAAACAACTTCAAGCAGCCTCTTATCGTTATTTATCGACCACTTGACTATTATATATACTCTATCTGAAATATCAAAACGATATAGCACATTACATAACCTAACTTGTAAATTTAAAACAACAAGGTGGAAATTTATTCATGTATTTCTAGTTAAGAAAAATTCACTAATATAGCTTATATATAAAAAGCAAATTCCGAACAAACAAGACATTTTGAGAATCAAAATATAATTCAAACAAGACACAGATTGAGACTGTAAATTTTCGACTTTATTACAAAGTCATCTTCAGACAGTCTCAATCTGTGTCTTGTTTGAATTATATTTTGATTCTCAAGATGTCTTGTTTGTTCGGAATTTGCTTTTTACTTTACTTTCTTAAATTGTCGGCTTGTCATGGTTTTTTTTATAGCTTATATATAACCGTGTAATCCTATCGCAAAGTCTCATCTCTTTCCTTCACGTTAATAATCTCTTTGAAATTATATTATATAACATAGTTAGATGCATGCATGCATTGGAGTGCCAAGTTGAATGGAAATATCAAACAATAGATAGAAGCTTTACTCACATTTCGTTGTAGTTTCTTTCCGTCTTCAGTAAAAGTCTCCGTGCTGCCCGTGAAGTGAAATGAGCAGAAGCCCGGTTTCCTCAGCTATATGTAAAATCGTTGCGAGGTTAAAAATATCATTTCAAATTTGCTTAGCAGTCATTGAATTTATGTCATCTTTGCATTGGGCTAAAGCTCAAGAACAGGCTGTCTATTGTTAGCATGTTTAACTAAATAGGAAAAAATCAATATAATGTATAAATCGAGCGCAATGACTATACTATAACAGGAAAAAAATTTAATTCATCCTTTAATAAAAGATTATTGCATCAATTTGCGGCCTAAAACACAGATTATCTCATCGATGGAATAAAAAAAAGGCCTACTGTTGCTTAAATGAACCCCCTGCAACCATGCACAATCGCATGCAGCTTCTGCTTTTCCGGCGTATATTCGACCACAAAACGACAGAAGCGTATTCTTTAACTTGTCGATCAAAACATCGGCGACCTTCCATGGGTACTGTTGTAACTAAAAATACGAATGACAATATTATTTGCAGAGATGCATTTTCAATTCCAGCTTATTAATATAGCTGCGGTATTGATACAATTATGATCTATGAAATTGCCATATTCGCCATATAGTAGCGTGCATATAGCATCGGTGGCAAACCCGACCATTGAAAATCTCCTACTTTACATGTTAATATTTATTGACTGCGAGAACAATGAATTTCTAATCAGGCCATATAGCGATTCTAGATTTGTCAAGCTGGCTACGCGACTGATTCGAGAAAAATTCTACCTAACTGTTGTACAACAATCATTCTTTACAAAAATACCACCAGTTTTTGTTTCATATCTTATGCACAGCACAAAATTATTGAAAACCTTCGAAACAACGTTTAACAACAAAACAGAAACATAATATCACTGATTATTTAAAACAAATTAATGCTGGTTTCCTAACACTATATAGTAGCAGTTTTCATGTCACGTCCGCGTCGTAGATTTTAGTGTATCTTAAACTCGCTAATTGCTCTCGTGTGCGGTGGGCTACAAAAGCTTCAAACTTTCTATAAAAAAATTTACCAAATTGAGATACACATTTATATTAAAGTCAGGGCCGTAGTTAGAACCTTAATTGGGGCGGGGGATGCATTTTCATATATTCGTCTTATACCCGAGAGAGAATCGGGTCAAAGAAAAAGCGTATAGTTGGGGAAGGAAATACAGAGACCTCTAAGCCGGTCGATGTAATTTTTACGCATGGTGCAGGAAAGTGTACCAAAATTTAAATCTTCAGAGGGTGTACAGGGTTAAAACGTCGTTGCGTTTTGATAACTTTGCAAACTGTGGACTGTTTTGTGTGTGTACATTTAGCTTCGATTTTATTGAATGATGCATTAGTGACTCTGCTAGGTTCCCCAATAAAAACCAAAACAATTGAAACGACACATAACAATGTAAATATGTAATAGGGACCCACGTGCAAGTGTATAAATGTTTGACGTAGGCATTTTTATGCATGTGACATGGCAGTAAAATTTGTTTGTATACCAACAAATGACTTTTATTACCAATACGCTTTTATTCGCTTTACAAATATGGATAACCGTGCATGCAAGAATTGTTTGCACGGTGAGATTTTCATTTGCGCCGTGAGACTTCTACTTGTGCCGTGTAGATAACAATATTTAATTTACATTTAAAGCACCATGACCTTCGGCATGTCCTTAACCCTCTAGAAAATGTAGCCCTATTTAGCATTTTATATTATAATAAAGTTGTGTTAATCCCCACGAGCTAAATTTCGCGAACAAGTCATTGGAATTTTAACACTAGGTGATTTCAAGAGTTTTGAGGTTTTTTAGGACACCTTGTATAATATACAGTTGCTAATGAATTCAATAGACTCACTAATAGATTCAATAAACTTACTAATTGATTCGCTGTAATTGTTTTTATATTGTTTTGTTAACCCCGCGCATTTTCCCCATGCTTCGAAGCCCTCGAAATTTGATGAGTTTCAGACACTGTAAGATATATAAAGCATGGAAATACTGGACGCCTATTAGCCGAGTGAAGGTAACTATTCTCTTATGATTAAGTAAAAAAATTTACTTGAGCACAACTAAACATTGTGTTCCTTTTACGAATGCTCGCTACTAGCGATTGACTCGAACAACTCGCCATTCGTACCCAATACGGACTCGCATGCAGTCGCGCTACTCGTTATACTCGCGAGTGTCACGCACAAGTCTTCCGTCGAGTTATTTACCCTATGTATGCGTATGTAAATCGGTTTATATATATAAAAACAATTAGTCCAAACAATCGATCTTTGGTAATGAGAATTTATAACCGATGCGACAGGGCTTCAAGACCTAATTCTATTACACTTCCTAATTCTCGTAGACCCTTAGACCTAATTCTCCTATGTTTAATTGTATATCGCAAGCGCCATAAACAGTTGACGATGACACGTCACTTGTTCATTATATTACCCCTTTTTAAAAAACGCTAGGCGTACTTCAAGGAAAATCAGAATCAAAGCAAAACTCATTCACTTTAATACTGCGAAAAGTATATAAAAGTTAAAGTAATATTGTAACTAATCAAAGTAAAATATAGAAAAAAAAAGTCCAAGCATACACTTATAGTCGCACCCGTTATTTTTATTAAAGTTCCAGCCAATCTAGTTCTACAATTTCAGAACACCATAAATAGTGCATATATATATAGCTATATATGACATTCGTCCATTGTTCTGTAACTACTTTCAACTTGAACCCAAACTCACAACCTAAAGAAAAGTACAAAAAAAAGACCATTATGACGACTATAAAAAACAATGGAAGAAAGTAAGAGCTAAAAAGTCTTTATTAATGATAATAATTTTCGTGTTGGTTTTCATGAATTTAAACAGTAGTGTATTCAAACGCTCAAAATGAAATGTTTGATGTACAAAAACACTCCTGATTCCAGGGGGAATATGATTATCCTCTCGCAGTGTTAACCTAACATGAAAAAGGTGTTGGAGAACACCAAAGATGTATAGGCTTGAGACGAGCATCTCTACACTATGCTCGCGCTCCTATAACACTCTCTTGGTGTAAAAAAAAAACTCACTTACACAAAGTTAGTGTACCTGTCCCACATCTTAGTTTCAGTCTTAGCGGCAACAGTTTGCTCCTAAAAGACACGAATATGCGTAGGGCAATGCGCCATAGTCTGCGCAGGTTGGACTATTTTGATAGAAAGGTATACAAAATCCACCATGTATTTCGCAATCAGTTATTTCTATAAGAAATTAATGTTGTAAAAGTTATGCCTGCAGTAGAAGATATACATGCAATGATTTGTACAACAAAATATTTCCATTATTCTGAAAATTTTGCATGACGAATACTTATGATGGCTGTCTTTATCATTAAGGCTCTTACGTCCTGACATCACATTTCCCCGCGAAAATTCAAAGACCACGAGAAACAAACCGATCATCAATAAACCTTTCATCACCATCTAAAAAATAAACACCACAATTACTTGCGAAGCGCGCTTTATAGACGGAAGACCCCTTCCTTGATGAGATCCTTTATTCCGCGGTGTATAAGACTAGAAGAATTTTCAGAAATTGTTTAATACGGATCACATTATTTACTATTTTTAAAACAAAAGAGGGGAATACAATTACGTCCATGCCGAATACGTTATGGGAAAAAGTCTTATAGGAATGCATGCACTCACTGAACGCCCACCCGCCCACGTTTCGACATGCAAAACAACTTCAAGCAGCCTCTTATTGTTATTTATCGACCACTTGACTATTATATATACTCTATCTGAAATATCAAAACGATATAGCACATTACATAACCTAACTTGTAAATTTAAAACAACAAGGTGGAAATTTATTCATGTATTTCTAGTTAAGAAAAATTCACTAATATAGCTTATATATAAAAAGCAAATTCCGAACAAACAAGACATCTTGAGAATCAAAATATAATTCAAACAAGACACAGATTGAGACTGTAAATTTTCGACTTTATTACAAAGTCATCTTCAGACAGTCTCAATCTGTGTCTTGTTTGAATTATATTTTGATTCTCAAGATGTCTTGTTTGTTCGGAATTTGCTTTTTACTTTACTTTCTTAAATTGTCGGCTTGTCATGGTTTTTTTTATAGCTTATATATAACCGTGTAATCCTATCGCAAAGTCTCATCTCTTTCCTTCACGTTAATAATCTCTTTGAAATTATATTATATAACATAGTTAGATGCATGCATGCATTGGAGTGCCAAGATGAATGGAAATATCAAACAATAGATAGAAGCTTTACTCACATTTCGTTGTAGTTTCTTTCCGTCTTCAGTAAAAGTCTCCGTGCTGCCCGTGAAGTGAAATGAGCAGAAGCCCGGTTTCCTCAGCTATATGTAAAATCGTTGCGAGGTTAAAAATATCATTTCAAATTTGCTTAGCAGTCATTGAATATATGTCATCTTTGCATTGGGCTAAAGCTCAAGAACAGGCTGTCTATTGTTAGCATGTTTAACTAAATAGGAAAAAATCAATATAATGTATAAATCGAGCGTAATGACTATACTATAACAGGAAAAAAATTTAATTCATCCTTTAATAAAAGATTATTGCATCAATTTGCGGCCTAAAACACAGATTATCTCATCGATGGAATAAAAAAAAGGCCTACTGTTGCTTAAATGAACCCCCTGCAACCATGCACAATCGCATGCAGCTTCTGCTTTTCCGGCGTATATTCGACCACAAAACGACAGAAGCGTATTCTTTAACTTGTCGATCAAAACATCGGCGACCTTCCATGGGTACTGTTGTAACTAAAAATACGAATGACAATATTATTTGCAGAGATGCATTTTCAATTCCAGCTTATTAATATAGCTGCGGTATTGATACAATTATGACCTATGAAATTGCCATATTCGCCATATAGTAGCGTGCATAGCATCGGTGGCAAACCCGACCATTGAAAATCTCCTACTTTACATGTTAATATTTATTGACTGCGAGAACAATGAATTTCTAATCAGGCCATATAGCGATTCTAGATTTGTCAAGCTGGCTACGCGACTGATTCGAGAAAAATTCTACCTAACTGTTGTACAACAATCACTCTTTACAAAAATACAACCAGTTTTTGTTTCATATCTTATGCACAGCACAAAATTATTGAAAACCTTGGAAACAACGTTTAACAACAAAACAGAAACATAATATCACTGATTATTTAAAACAAATTAATGCTGGTTTCCTAACACTATAGTAGCAGTTTTCATGTCACGTCCGCGTCGTAGATTTTAGTGTATCTTAAACTCGCTAATAGCTCTCGTGTGTGGTGGGCTACAAAAGCTTCAAACTTTCTATAAAAAGTTTTACCAAATTGAGATACACATTTATATTAAAGTCAGGGCCATCGTTAGAAGGATAATTGGGGCCGGGGATACATTTTTATATATTCGTCTTATACCCGAGAGAGAATTGGGTCAAAGAAAAAGCGTATAATTGAGGAAGGAAATACAGAGACCTCTAAGATGGTCGATGTAATTTTTACGCATGGTGCATGAAAGTGTACCAAAATTTAAATCTTCAGAGGGTGTACCGGGTTAAAACGTCGTTGTGTTTTGATAACTTTGCAAACTGTGGACTGTTTTGTGTGTGTACATTTAGCTTCGAATTTCTTGAATTCATGCATTAGTGACTCTGCAGGGTGCCCCAATAAAAAACAAAACAATTGAAATGACACATAACAATGTAATAGGGACCCACGTGCGAGCAGTGAACTCTATATATATGGAAGGCTCGCTCTAGTACATTGCGTAATCTAAAAGTGAAGCCAAACATGGCGGATCATGAAGGCTGCTTGGGTACCGAACCAGACCCCCACGCACGAGCGGTTACAATTCAATATGGCGGCAATGTCTAGGAGTTGAACTCGGTCAGTTTTGTAAACACAACACAAATATACGGCATAAGTTACCCCTCTAGAAAGAATAACATTGCCAGGTAAGGTTGTAACAAATTGTATGTATTCATTTTTAAAAACTTCGTATTTTTAAAGCTTTGTAACATCCGAAATGTTAGCTTTTTTATTTTTCGACATATTTTTATAATTCGTGTTTTTCATTTCCACGCGCGGTTCGCGCATTTTACGCTTCGTAGAGGACTGGTTCGGTACCCAAGCAGCCTTCATGATCCGCCATGTTTGGCTTCACAATTTAAACTGGAGCGAGCCTTCCATATATATAGAGTTCACTGCGTGCGAGTGTATAAATGTTTGACGTAGGCATTTTTATGCATGCGACATTGCAGTATAATTTGTTTGTCTACCAACAAATGACTTTTATTACCAATACGCTTTTATTCGCTTTACAAATATGGATAACCGTCACAATTGTCTGTGCCGTGCATGAGATTTTCATTTGCGCCGTGAGACTTCTATTTGTGCCGTACGTGTAGATAACAATAATATTAACAATAATAATAATAATAATAATAATATAAAATAATAATAATAACAGTATTTAAATTTACAACTAAAGCATGACCTTCGGCATGTCCTTAACTCTCTACAAAATTTATAGGCCTATTTAACATTTTATATTGTAATAAAGTTGTGTTAATCCCCACGAGCAAAATTTTGCGAATTCAGTCATTCGAATTTTAACACTAGGTGATTTCAAAAGTTTTGGGGGTTTTTAGGACACCTTGTATAATATACAGTTGCTAGTGAGTTCAATAGAGTCACTAATACAGTAGAGCATGGAAATACTGGACGCTGATTGGCCGAGTGAAAGTACTATTCTCTTAGGATGAAATAAAAAATTTTAGTTGAGCTCAACTAAACATTGTGTTCGAATTCCTTTTACGAATGCTGCTACTGGCGATTGACTGGAACAACTCGCCATTCGTACCCAATACGCGGACTCGCAGTCTCGCTATTCGTTATAAGGGAGCTTTAGCAGTGACTACGAGTACGACTACGAGTACGAGATTCGTCATTCTCGCGCGTTGTTTGCTTACGCCATCAGTCAAAACTCGTAGTCGCCGGGCATTTGAGTACGAGTTTTTTGATAAACTTCGTACTCGAAAGCCCAACGACTACGAGTTTTGGCTGATGGCGTAAGCAAACAACGCGCGAGAATGACGAATCTCGTACTCGTAGTCGTACTCGTAGTCACTGCTAAAGCTCGCTATACTCGCGAGTGTCACGCACAAGTCTTCCGTCGAGTTATTTACCGTATGTATGCTTATATAAATCGATTTATATATAAAAACAATTAGTCCAAACAATCGAACTTTGGCAAAGAGAATTTATAACCGATGCGACAGAGCTTCAAGACCTAATTCTATTACACTTCCTAATTCTCGTAGACCTCTAGACCTAATTCTCCTATATTTAATCGTATAGCGCAAGCGCCATAAAGAGTTGACGCTGATACGTCACTTGTTCATTATATTACCCCTTTTTAAAAACGAAAGCCGTACTTTAAGGAAAATCAGAATCAAAGCAAAACTCATTCACTTTAATACTGCGAAAAGTATATAAAAGTTAAAGTAATATTGTAACTAATCAAAGTAAAATATAGTAATAAAAAGTCCAAGCATACACTTATTTATAGTTGCACCCGTTATTTTTATTAAAGTTCCAGCTAATCTAGTTCTACAATTTCAGAACACCATAAATAGTGCATATATATATAGCTATATATGACATTCGTCCATTGTTCTGTAACTACTTTCAACTTGAAAACAAACTCACAACCTAAAGAAAAGTACAAAGAAAAACTCATTAGGACGACTATAAAAAACAATGGAAGAAAGTGAGAGCTAAAAAGTTTTTATTAATGATAATAAATTTTGTGTTGGTTTTCATGAATTAGAGCAGTAGTGTATTCAAACGTTGAAAATGAAATGTTTGATGTAAAAAAAACACTCTTGATTCCAGGGGGAATATGATTATCCTCTTGCAGTGTTAACCTAACATGAAAAAGGTGTTGGAGAACACCAAAGATGTGTCATCCTAAATCGCGTTCGCACACCATTTGCGTGTAGCTATATAGGCTTGAGACGAGCATCTTTACACCATGCTCGCGTTCCTATAACACTCTCTTGGTGTAAAAATAAAAAAAAACTTACTTACACAAAGTTTAGTGTACCTGCATGTCCCACATCTTAGTTTCAGTCTTAGCGGCAACAGTTTGCTCCTAAAAGACACGAGTATGCGTAGGGCAATGCGCCATAGTCTGCGCAGGTTGGACTATTTTGATAGAAAGGTATACAAAATCCACCATGTGTTTCGCACTCAGTTATTTCTATAAGAAATTAATGTTGTAAAAGTTATGCCTTCAGTAGCAGATATACATGCAATGATTTGCATGTATAACAAAATATTTTTATATTATTTTGAAAATTTTGCATGACGAATACTTATGATGGCTGTCTTTATCATTAAGGCTCTTACGTCCTGACATCATATTTCCCCGCGAAAATTCAAAGACCACGAGAAACAAACAGATCATCAATAAGCCTTTCATCACCATCTAAAAGATAAACACCACAATTACTTGCGGCGCGCGCTTTATAGACGGAAGGCCCCTTCCTTGATGAGATCCTTTATTCCGCGGTGTATAAGACTAGAAGAATTTTCAGAAATTGTTTAAATCCTGTTTATGTATATATGGATCACATTACTTACTAACTTTAAAAAGAAAGGGGGGAATATAATTACGTCCATGCCGAATACGTCATGGGAAAAAGTCTTATAGGAATGCATTCACTCACTGAACGCCCACCCGCCCACGTTTCGACATGCAAAAAAACTTCAAGCAGCCTCTTATCGTTATTTATCGACCACCTGATTATTATCTATACTCTATCTGAAATATCAAAACGATATAGTACATTACATAACCTAACTTGTAAATTTAAAACAACAAGGTGGAAATTTATTCATGTATTTCTAGTTAAGAAAAATTCACTAATATAGCTTATATATAACCGTGTAATCCTATCGCAAAGTCTCATCTCTTTCCTTCACGTTAATAATCGCTTTGAAAGAATATTATATAACATAGTTAGATGCATGCATGCATTGGAGTGCTAAGATGAATGGAAATATCAAACAATAGATAGAAGCTTTACTCACATTTCGTTGTACTTTCTTTCCGTCTTCAGTAAAAGTCTCCGTGCTGCCCGTGAAGTGAAATGAGCAGAAGCCCGGTTTCCTCAGCTATATGTAAAATCGTTGCGAGGTTAAAAATATCATTTCAAATTTGCCTAGCAGTCATTGAATATATGTCATCTTTGCATTGGGCTAAAGCTCAAGAACAGGCTGTCTATTGTTAGCATGTTTAACTAAATAGGAAAAAATCAATATAATGTAAAAATCGAGCGCAATGACTAACTATAACAGGAAAAAAATTCAATTCATCCTTTAATAAAAGATTGTTGCATGAATTTGCGGCCTTAAACACAGATTATCTCATCGATGGAATAAAAAAAAGGCCTACTGTTGCTTAAATGAACCCCCTGCAACCACAATCGCATGCAGCTTCTGCTTTTCCGGCGTATATTCGACCACAAAACGACAGAAGCGTATTCTTTAACTTGTCGATCAAAACATCGGCAACCTTGCATGGGTACTGTTGTAACTGAAAATACGAATAACAATATATTTGCAGAGATGCATTTTCAATTCCAACTTATTAATATAGCTGCGGTGTTGATACAATTATGACCTATGAAATTGCCATAGTCGCCATAGTACCGTGCATGGCATCGGTGGCAAACCCGACCATTGAAAGTCTGCTACTATAAATGTTAATATTCATTGACTGTGAGAACAATGAATTTCTAATGGAATGAATAGTTGTAATGCCCTTAAATCAGTCCATATAGCGATTCTAGATTTGTCAGGCTATCTACGCGACTGATTCGAGAAAAATTCTACCTAAGTTGTACAACAATCACTCTTTTCAAAAATACCACAAGTTTTTGTTTCATATTTTATGCACATCACATATTGAAAACCTTGGAAACAACGTTTAACAACAAAACAGAAACATAATATCACTGATTATTTAAAACAAATTAGGCTAATGCTGGTTTCCTAACACTATAGTAGCAGTTTTCATGTCACGTCCGCGTCGTAGATTTTAGTGTATCTTAAATTCGCTAATAGCTCTCGTGTGCGGTGGGGTTCAAAAGCTTCAAACTTTGTATAAAAAGTTTTACCAAATTGAGATACACATTTATATTAAAGTCAGGGACGTATAGTTAGAAGCTTAATTGGGGCGGGGGATGCATTTTCATATATATTCGTCTTATACCATATCTATGTCTTATACCCGAGACAGAATGGGGTCAAAGAAAAAGCGTATAATTGAGGAAGAAAATATACAGAGACCTCTATAAGCCGGTCGATGTAATTTTTACGCATGGTGCATGAAAGTGTACAAAAATTTAAATCTTCAGAGGGTGTACCGGGTTAAAACGTCGTTGTGTTTTGATAACTTTGCAAACTGTGGACTGTTTTGTGTGTGTACATTTAGCTTCGATTTTATTGAATTCATGCATTAGTGACTCTGCAGGGTGCCCCAATAAAAAGCAAAACAATTGAAACAACACATACCAATGTAATAGCGACCCACGTGCGAGTGTATAAATGTTTGACGTAGGCATTTTTATGCATGTGACATGGCAGTAAAATTTGTTTGTATACCAACAAATGACTTTTATTACCAATACGCTTTTATTCGCTTTACAAATATGGATAACCGTGCATGCAAGAATTGTTTGCGCGGTGAGATTTTCATTTGCGACGTGAGACTTCTATACTTGTGCCGTGTAGATAACAATATTTAAATTTACATTTAAAGCACCCTGACCTTCGGCATGTCCTTAACCCTCTAGAAAATGTAGGCCTATTTAGCATTTTATATTATAATAAAGTTGTTTTAATCCCCACGAGCAAAATTTCGCGAACAAGTCATTGGAATTTTAACACTAGGTGATTTCAAGAGTTTTGAGGTTTTTTAGGACACCTTGTATAATATACAGTTGCTAATGAATTCAATAGAGTCACTAATAGATTCAATAAACTTACTAATTGATTCGCTGTCATTGTTTTTATATTGTTTTGTTAACCCCGCGCATTTTCCCCATGCTTCGAAGCCCTCGAAATTTGATGAGTTTCAGACACTATAGGATATAAAGCATGGAAATACTGGACGCCTATTAGCCGAGTGAAGGTAACTATTCTCTTATGATGAAGTAAAAAAATTTACTTGAGCACAACTAAGCATTGTGTTCCTTTTACGAATGCTCGCTACCAGTGATTGACTCGAACAACGCAGTCGCGCTACTCGTTATACTCGCGAGTGTCACGCACAAGTCTTCCGTCGAGTTATTTACCCTATGTATGCGTATGTAAATCGATTTATATATAAAAACAATTAGTCCAAACAATCGATCTTTGGTAATGAGAATTTATAACCGATGCGACAGGGCTTCAAGACCTAATTCTACCACTTCCTGATTCTCGTAGACCTTTAGACCTAATTCTGCTATGTTTAATTGTATATCGCAAGCGCCATAAAGAGTTGACGATGACACGTCACTTGTTCATTATATTATACCCCTTTTTAAAAAACGCTATAGGCGTATTTTAAGGAAAATCAGAATCAAAGCAAAACTCATTCACTTCAATACTGCGAAAAGTATATAAAAGTTAAAGTAATATACTGACAAATTAACGTAAAATACAGCAAAAAAAGTCCAAGCATACACTTATAGTCCAACCCGTTATTTTTATTAAAGTTCCAACCATCTATTTCTACAATTTCAGAACACCATAATATATAGTATATATATATTTATATATGACATTCGTCGATTGTTCTGTAACTACTTTCAACTTGAAAACAAACTCACAACCTGAAGAAAAGTACAAAGAAAAACTCATTATGACGACGAAAAAATGGAAGAGAGTAAGAGCTAAAAAGTTTTTATTAATGATAATAATTTTCGTGTTGGTTTTCATGAATTTGAACAGTAGTGCATGTTTTCAAACGCTCAAAATGAAATGTTTGATGTAAAAAAAAACTCCTGATTCAAGGCGAAATATGACAATCCTCTCGCAGTGTTAACCTAACATGAAAAAGGTGTTGGAGAACACCAAAGATGTGTTATCCTAAATCGCATTCGCAAACAATTTCCGTGTAGCTATATAGGCTTGAGACGAGCATCTCTACACCATGCTCGCGCTCCTATAACACTTTCTTCGTGTAAAAATAAAAAAAAACTTACTTACACAAAGTTTAGTGTACCTGCATGTCCCACATCTTAGTTTCAGTCTTAGCGGCAACAGGTTGCTCCTAAAAGACACGAGTATGCGTAGGGCAATGCGCCATAGTCTGCGCAGGTTGGACTATTTTGATAGAAAGGTATACAAAATCCACCATGTGTTTCGCACTCAGTTATTTCTATAAGAAATTAATGTTGTAAAAGTTATGCCTTCAGTAGCAGATATACATGCAATGATTTGCATGTATAACAAAATATTTTTATATTATTTTGAAAATTTTGCATGACGAATACTTATGATGGCTATCTTTATCATTAAGGCTCTTACGTCCTGACATCACATTTCCCCGTGAAAATTCAAAGACCACGAGAAAAAAACAGATCATCAATAAGCCTTTCATCACCATCTAAAAGATAAACACCACAATTACTTGCGGCGCGCGCTTTATAGACGGAAGGCCCCTTCCTTGATGAGATCCTTTATTCCGCGGTGTATAAGACTAGAAGAATTTTCAGAAATTGTTTAAATCCTGTTTATGTATATATGGATCACATTACTTACTAAGTTTAAAAAAAAAGGGGGGAATATAATTACGTCCATGCCGAATACGTCATGGGAAAAAGTCTTATAGGAATGCATTCACTCACTGAACGCCCACCCGCCCACGTTTCGACATGCAAAAAAACTTCAAGCAGCCTCTTGTCGTTATTTATCGACCACCTGATTATTATCTATACTCTATCTGAAATATCAAAACGATATAGCACATTACATAACCTAACTTGTAAATTTAAAACAACAAGGTGGAAATTTATTCATGTATTTCTAGTTAAGAAAAATTCACTAATATAGCTTATATATAACCGTGTAATCCTATCGCAAAGTCTCATCTCTTTCCTTCACGTTAATAATCGCTTTGAAAGGATATTATATAACATAGTTAGATGCATGCATGCATTGGAGTGCCAAGATGAATGGAAATATCAAACAATAAATAGAAGCTTTACTCACATTTCGTTGTAGTTTCTTTCCGTCTTCAGTAAAAGTCTCCGTGCTGCCCGTGAAGTGAAATGAGCAGAAGCCCGGTTTCCTCAGCTATATGTAAAATCGTTGCGAGGTTAAAAATACCATTTCAAATTTGCCTAGCAGTCATTGAATATATGTCATCTTTGCATTGGGCTAAAGCTCAAGAACAGGCTGTCTATTGTTAGCATGTTTAACTAAATAGGAAAAAATTAATATAATGTATAAATCGAGCGCAATGACTATACTATAACAGGAAAAAAATTTAATTCATCCTTTAATAAAAGATTATTGCATGAATTTGCGGCCTAAAACACAGATTATCTCATCGATGGAATAAAAAAAAGGCCTACTGTTGCTTAAATGAACCCCCTGCAACCACAATCGCATGCAGCTTTTGCTTTTCCGACGTATATTCGACCACAAAACGACAGAAGCGTATTCTTTAACTTGTCGATCAAAACATCGGCGACCTTCCATGGGTACTGTTGTAACTAAAAATACGAATGACAATATTATTTGCAGAGATGCATTTTCAATTCCAGCTTATTAATATAGCTGCGGTATTGATACAATTATGACCTATATGAAATTGCCATATTCGCCATATAGTAGCGTGCATAGCATCGGTGGCAAACCCGACCATTGAAAATCTCCTACTTTACATGTTAATATTTATTGACTGCGAGAACACTGAATGAATTTCTAATGGGGTGAGTAGTTGTAATGCCCGTAATCAGTCCATATGGCGATTCTAGATTTGCCAGGCTGGCTACGCGACTGATTCGAGAAAAATTCTACCTAACTGTTGTACAACAATCACTCTTTACAAAAATACCACCAGTTTTTGTTTCATATCTCATGCACAGCACAAAATTATTGAAAACCTTCGAAACAACGTTTAACAACAAAAAAGAAAAATAATATCACTGATTATTTAAAACAAATTAATGCTGGTTTCCTAACACTATATAGTAGCAGTTTTCATGTCACGTCCGCGTCGTAGATTTTAGTGTATCTTAAACTCGCTAATTGCTCTCGTGTGCGGTGGTCTACAAAAGCTTCAAACTTTCTATAAAAAAATTTACCAAATTGAGATACACATTTATATTAAAGTCAGGGCCGTAGTTAGAAGCTTAATTGGGGCGGGGGATGCATTTTCATATATATTCGTCTTATACCCGAGAGATAATCGGGCCAAAGAAAAAGCGTATAGTTGGGGAAGGAAATACAGAGACCTCTAAGCCGGTCGATGTAATTTTTACGCATGGTGCATGAAAGTGTACCAAAATTTAAATCTTCAGAGGGTGTACAGGTTTAAACGTCGTTGTGTTTTGATAACTTTGCAAACTGTGGACTGTTTTGTGTGTGTACATTTAGCTTCGATTTTATTGAATTCATGCATTAGTGACTCTGCAGGGTGCCCCAATAAAAAGCAAAACAATTGAAACAACACATACCAATGTAATAGCGACCCACGTGCGAGTGTATAAATGTTTGACGTAGGCATTTTTATGCATGTGACATGGCAGTAAAATTTGTTTGTATACCAACAAATGACTTTTATTACCAATACGCTTTTATTCGCTTTACAAATATGGATAACCGTGCATGCAAGAATTGTTTGCGCGGTGAGATTTTCATTTGCGACGTGAGACTTCTATACTTGTGCCGTGTAGATAACAATATTTAAATTTACATTTAAAGCACCCTGACCTTCGGCATGTCCTTAACCCTCTAGAAAATGTAGGCCTATTTAGCATTTTATATTATAATAAAGTTGTTTTAATCCCCACGAGCAAAATTTCGCGAACAAGTCATTGGAATTTTAACACTAGGTGATTTCAAGAGTTTTGAGGTTTTTTAGGACACCTTGTATAATATACAGTTGCTAATGAATTCAATAGAGTCACTAATAGATTCAATAAACTTACTAATTGATTCGCTGTCATTGTTTTTATATTGTTTTGTTAACCCCGCGCATTTTCCCCATGCTTCGAAGCCCTCGAAATTTGATGAGTTTCAGACACTATAGGATATAAAGCATGGAAATACTGGACGCCTATTAGCCGAGTGAAGGTAACTATTCTCTTATGATGAAGTAAAAAAATTTACTTGAGCACAACTAAGCATTGTGTTCCTTTTACGAATGCTCGCTACCACACACTAAAAAAAGGTGTGTTAAATTTACACACCTTTTTTGTCCAAATTTTAACACACCTAAAGGTGGGTTTTGAAACACACCTAAAGGTGTGTTTAACACACCATAAGGTGTGCAAAAAGCATCTTCAAAGGTGTGTTAACACATAGCAAGGTGTGTTTTTGTGCACACCAAAAGGTGTGTAGAACACACTAAAAGGTGTGTCAAAAAACACACCAAAAGATGTGTTTTTGGCTTGTCCAAATTTTAACACGTTCTAAGGTGTGTTTTCAAAGAAGGTGTGTTTTCATACACACCATGGTGTGTTTTATTACACAGCTAAAGCTGTGCTGGAGAACACACAAATTGTTTAAGTAAAAAGTTGCACACCTTTCCTAAAAGTAACATATAAACAGGGCTAGAAAACACACAAACACAATATTAATTTATAAATATATTTTAAGTTCCAATACTATTAAGAATTAACATGAAGTCACAGTAATGAATTATATAAATATCTTGAAGCATGCAGTTTAGTTTAAAATAATGTCTTACTCTATAAACAGTTTATTGACTTGATGTCGTCTCGACTTGACACTTGGTGGTGTTTTCTTGTCTTGTTGGTCACCCTTGTTCTTGTTTGTTGGAGTGTATGGTGCCTGCTCAACTGTTGCAATAACATCATCGCCTTAATTCATGATCTTCATAATCAACAAAGATCACCTGAAAAATATAAAATAAATGCATAAGAGGATCTGGTATTTAGAATTTTCCAATTTAAGATGTGCACAAGCATCTGTTAATTAATAGAACATGCTAAATGATACCCAATTTATGAGTTAAGATTTATTTTTGGTAAAAGAATTTAGGATGTATTGTCAGGTATAGGCAGGTATAATTACATGAATTATAACCTTCTGTTGAAATTTGAAAAATTGGGGTCTGGGCACATTTTCTATAGTTTCTTTAAAATGGGAAAGTTTTATTTAAATATGTATATATAGCTATCTTTCAGGATAAGTAGTCAAGTCTATAGTATTAAAAATCATAAACCATTCTGGAACACTCAAGTCAAATCAACTATCTAATATTTACAACATTTAGAAAGCAAATGCAGTATAGTGAGGACAAATATTGGTCCTTTGGAATGTTACTAACCCCCAAAAGGAATACAAAATATTAAACATAAATTAAGACACAAAACAATTCATCAAGATTACACCTAGCGAATTATATGCTTTCTTTATACCAAGCATAAACTATGGCATAAACAGCCTTATGTATACACCGATATACGTGTAAATCTCCTTCTAAAAGCACCTATAACAATTAAATTTTGAAAGATAAAACGTAACACTCACCAAGTTCCTCTTGTGATGTCGAATCTGTTCGCGTCGCCATGCGCTTCGGTGGTCTCTGAATTATTAGAATGAAGCAGACTTTTCACTTTCAAGCTATTCGGGACCTTCGAAGTCTTGAATTTCTTTGCATCGTTGTAACGGAACCATCAATTTATTCGCTACAAATAGATAGAGACAACCATATTGATTACAGTCATTACACTCGTTGGCCATATTGAAATTGATACAAATGTTTGACACAAACGATTCGAAAAGCACTGCAATACAACTTACCCTCTTATAATTTCTTCTTTATACAACATCATAAGCTCTCGTGTGTTCATCTCCAAAAAAATCTTAAAATCGCCTTCACAATAAACATAATTTAAACTTGTAACAGACTCGAAGCACAGTTGCCACAGTAGAGAAGGAAATGTAAAACACTAAACAGTGGTTTTGTATTTCGTGCGCGTGGGTTTCACACCTCGCGACATTCTTATTGGTTAAAAGCGTATGACGTATCAGATCACTGACCTGTATATACAAGTCTGTATGGCAGATATTCAAAAAACAACCCACGTTAATCATTCTTATTACAAAAGTAAACCACAACGATCTGTAAATTCCCTTAAATCTATGTCTTATATAATGTTTAGAGTTTTTAATACTGATCAAAGCTGAAACGCAGGCCAAAGATAACAGAAATTTAAAGAAAAAAGTTAAATTTAAATGCAATGGAACAGCGTGAAATTTCCTGTGACTTGTGTAATTCCTCGTAAGGCTGACGCTTTTATCGACGCACTAAAATACTATAGGTAATAAATAAGGCCAATCAAGCATATTGTTAATAATTTA